AATTATAAGTCTGTTCTATGTTCCTTTGGAATTTCAACCAAAGATGAAGAACTGGATCTTCCATCACTATATTGGATACCTAAACTACATAAGTGTCCTTACAAACAACGGTATATTGCTGAGTCTTCCAAGTGCTCCACGAAACCTCTTTCTAAATTATTAACATCTATTTTATCAGCAATCAAAGTCGGGCTTCAAAGTTATTGTTAAACTGCCTATTCTAGAGGTGACGTGAATCAGATGTGGATACTAAAAATTTCCAAAGATCTTTTAGAGTACATACAATCTAAGACTCTCTCATCTTGCAATAGTATTAAAAACATTTGACCTTGTTGGTATTGCTTTGTTTCATAAAAAAAAAAAAGAATGGCGAACATAGATACAAGTATCTTGTCTTGGGGAGGGATAAATCCTACTTTGTAAAGAATCACTCTGATTCAAACAAAAAATTCTCTGAAATGACATTATCAAGATGCTTGATTTCTTGATTGACAACACATATGTTACGTTTGGAGATCGTGTTTTTCAACAGACTGTCGGCATTCCAATAGGAACTAATTGTGCCCCTCTTCTTCCCGACTTGTTTCTTTATTATTATGAGGCTGACTTCATACAGGAACTTCTTAGGAAGAAAGATAAGAAGTTAGAAATATCCTTTAACTTTACTTTCCGCTATATAGATGATGTTCTCTCACTAAATAATTCAAAATTTGATGACTATGTTGAACGCATCTATCCCACCGAACTAGAGATAAATGATACAACAGATACAGTTAAGTCTGCCTCATATCTTGACTTACATCTATAAATTGACAATGAGTGTCGGTTGAAAACAAAACTTTACGACAAAAGATATGATTTCAGCTTCCCAATTGTGAACTTTCCATTTTTATGTAGCAACATTCCAGCAGCGCCTGCATACGGAGTAAATATCTCCAAATTGAAACGATATTCCCGGGCTTGTATTTCCTATCATGATTTCCTTGATAGAGGGTTGCTGCAAACAAGGGAGCTATTTAACCAAGAGTTCAAAATGGTGAGTTGAAATCATCCCTTCGTAAATTTTACGGACGCCATCACGAGTTGGTCGACCGTTATGGAATAACCGTTTCACAGATGATATCGGATATGTTCCTTTATGTCGTAATTACAATTCACTTCCTTTTCACCATGAATGTGACCTACCATTTGGTTTGAAGTTTGGTTGTTCCTGAAGAAAAATTATTTCGAACGGGTTATCACGTCCTAACTTTTACGGGAATGTTTTTTACTGTGCCTGGACATTTAGAAACGATTCTGGAAAACTTATTGATCCGTTTAAGCAATTCTTTCTAAAAGGTTACCAATTCAACACTGCAATTAACTATTTGAATATTGTTTTTTTATTGGTATCAATATTGACTTCGTTATCAGTAATTTAAAACCAAACTAAATATTATTGTTATATACATATGCACATTCACGGATCTACAATCTGTCGATACCTGTATCTTGGCATTGCTAAAGGTCATGTTTTTTACTGACTGTTTATGATGTCTTTACGCTAAATTCATTGTATTTTGGATGTGTAATGATTGATAATTTAGTCTGTGATGCATGAATTTTGTATGAGTTGTTATTTGCTATGAACTAGATGTCAGTAACTGCGAGTATTCTCAGATCTGTACTTGGTGTCTTTTGTTATTGGGATTTATAATTTCCCAGCCACGTCCACTATGTATTTCTATTAGATGTATTTCTATGTGTATCTATCTGATGAGTTAAGCCTTTTTCCACTGATTTTTATAGTTCGTTCTTATAATGTACTGTTACACCACTGTCCTAGGTCAGGGGAAGGATTGGGGTCCCGCCTACATGTTTAACCCCGCCACATTATGTATGTATATTTGTGTCCCAAGACAGGAGCCTGTTATTCAGTGGTTGTCGTCTTTTGCAGTGTTACATGTTTGTTTTTTGTAAATGTTTTGTACATTAACTAGGCCGATAGTTTTCTCATTTTAATTGTTTTACATTTGTCATTTCAAGGCCCTTTTTAGCTGACTATACGGTAAGAGATTGGCTCATTGTTGAAGGCTTTATAGTAACCTATATATGTTAATTTCTGTGTCATTTGTTCTCTTGTTAATAATTGTCTGATTGACAAGTATACCACATCTTCTTTTTTATATGAAGTACATCCAGTGACGTTCAATCTCCTGAAACATTTGTTTGATAAACAGTAGGACAAAAAGCATTTTTCTAATTAGTATGACTCAGAAAAAATGGTAAAATAATAGGGAATGATGAAATTAATTAAATAGAATTTGATTGAAATGAAAAATATTCTAGGGATATGAGTATTGTGAACATATTTATCAAATTGTATACATCATGTTCATCACAATATCATAGCGGTTTTGGTCTTATTAAAAGATGTGTAATAGGAGTAGTCTGTAGTTTTATATTCCTTGTTATCATATAACATATTTCAAATTCATAATAAGATTCATTTTGTTACATCTTGTGATGCGTTTATTTGGCAGTCAACAGGGTTTAAGAACATCAGTTGTTCGACCATGTAGTCAAAGGCGTTTTGATAAAGTATACTTTTTCACTTTTTTGGTCTTTTTGAAACTGTTGTTTGTGCTGTATTTAGACCCCTCTACCAAGAAATTTGTTTTGCATGCACACGTATAAAAATTGCGGTTTGTATCCAACGCAATCATAGGTGTAAACGTTGTTTTCAATTAATACTTGTTTATATTTTTTCGTTTGAGCTTGTATTATATTTTCCTTCTGGTTTATATGATCCGTTCATCCTATTTCGACTCTTTAAAATTCAAGAGTCTATCCTAAATTGAGGTAAATTTTATGACCTTTCAAATACTGTTTCGATCTCTAACATCACTGAAGAGATATTAATTGTCGAAATCCGAATATGGTGTACTAAATTTTGCACCTTTTGTTTGCGGTATACCATCTCTCCCGCAAGTTTATTGTTTTCTGTTTGGTTTTAAATTCATATTAAAATCCATTTTGTTGCATCTTGTGATCAGTGTATTTGGCAATCGCCAATGGCAGTCAGCAGCTTTTAAGAACATCAGTTGTTCGACCTGTTAGTCAAATGCGTTTTGTTAAAATACACTTTTTCGCTTTTTTGGTCTTTTGGAAAATGTTATTTGTGCTGTATTTAGACCCCTCTACCAAGAAATTTGTTTTGCAAGCACACGTATAAAAATTGTGGTTTTTATCCAACGCAATCATAGGTTTGAACGTTGTTTTCAATTTAGACTTGTTTATATATATTATATGCTTACATTGATACCAGTGGATTATCGGATTTATCCAATCGAGATAGTTAAACTATCAATTCTAAAGTCCGAACCTCTGCGAGGACTTCAAAACTTATAAATTAACTGTCGAGTTTGGATAAATCCAATAATGTACAAGTTACTATGTCAGAATCATTAATGATTAAGACATACATTTTCAGTTTTTGTTTAACAAAAACCCCATTCGAGTGCCTGCCGCATACCACAAAATTGTAAATTTCATTAACACCTGTTAGCATATTTTGATTTATCCAGTGAGCTTATAAAGGTTCTGACCCTTAAACTTATTCAATCATCTTCTGAAATCACCGACAACCACACGTTGATTAAATTGTTTTATAATATGGGTTCGGAAAGGGTTTTATTGCCATAGAATTAGAGAAAAGCAGTTATGCAATTCAATTTAAACAATCAAAGAGCGAATGTTGAATTTTTAGTTCTCTTTGACAAAATTTAGCATTTTTATCGAAGCCTATTTACAAAAAGTGGAAGTTCATGAATGTTAGAAATCAGATGTGTAAACCTTGATCGAAGTAAACGAGAGCAACCTAACAACAAACAAAAGACATTCAAGGTCAAGTTAGTCTTTCCACTATTATTGAATGCTTGCTTAACTTTTAATTGTAATTGTTTATTGGTTACTTGACGATTCTTCTGAAATAATGCAAAAAGAAAAAAAGAAAAGTTTTCTTCTAAAATATCTTTGTAATGTGGCACCAAACATTTCTCAAGTTATTTGGAATATTGAACGAAGAAACTTGAGAACATTTTCAAATTTGCCAAAAGATCTGTGTAAGAAGGGGTTGAAATACAATTGGAAATGTCATAGTAAGTTTTTGTGGTTATTTTCACCTCAATCCCTATGGCTATTTTGTGAGTTGAATGCGATGAACCCAGGTTGTTTTACGTATTCGTTTTTATTCTGTAGTTAGTCACCACTTCGGTGTTAACATGTATATCAATAATTTGGTCATTTTTATATTTTATAAATTTAATGTTTGCAAAAATATGAATTATTCTAAATACTAAATATTTTCTTATCCCAGGCAGATAACCTAGCCGTATTTGGCACAACTTTTTGGAATTTTGGGTCATCAATGCTCTTCATATTTAGGCCTGGCACCTTTGATAACTATTAGATTGTCGTAATGATCTATTGTATTGTGTATTTGTGTGTTTCTCTGTCCTGTATGTTTTTCCATTATATTGTAGTCCTGTCACGTAATGTTGTCATTTTAGTGTTATATTTAACATTGCCATAAAAGCGAAAGGTTTGGCTAGCCACAAAACCAGGTTCAACCCACCATTTTGTTCTGTCCTGTACTAAGTCAGGAAAATGACTACTGTTTTCTTATAGTTCGTTTCTGTGTGTGTTGCAATTTAGTGTTTCTGGTGTGTCTTTGTTCTCCTCTTATATTTGATGTGTTTCCCTCAGTTTTAGTTTGTAACCCGGATTTGTTTTTTCTCAATCGATTTATGAATTTCGAACGGCGGTATACTACTGTTGCCTTTATTTACATGTTACACTTATAAGTGTAGCTTTATTTGGATAACCGTCACTGTAAATGATGAAAATGTATGAGATTTATAAGCGGTTCAGACTTTTTGTTTAGATTTAGTACCACTATTAGATGTAGTTATAATGTTGAGTTTTGAATTATTTGCCCTCTTCTAAGTGAAGTTGATTCTTTAGTATGAATGTATAATCAGTTTTTATTACAGATAACGTCTATGCCCTATTTTGAAAATGGAACTGATATCACTAGTTAGGAAGAAAAGATGCAAAGAGGCAATAGAGCTGATCAAAGGAGGAACTAATTTAGACTATGTGGATGAGGTATTAAACTTCAAGGGCTATACAAAATGCTTTATTTTTAGTTTTATAAAAACCGTAATGCCACCAAATGTGTTGATACATTTGTTACTAGAATTCAATAGTTAAATATTTCGACATTTAGATAACATTGTAAGTCTTTGAATTTAGATAATATACAATTTATGTAATCGACTGTAATCATTTTATTCTTTGTCCTTATCTTGGTATCAGAACTGTTGTACATGTCTGCATTATGCTAGTTCTGGAGGATTGTCCGAATGTATCGTCGCAGCAGCACAGCATGGAGTTGACGTTGAACAAAGAGATAAGGTAAATACATACTTGGCAGAACAAAACAAAATGTCAAGAACAAAAATGATTTAGTTGAATAGTAACAATCACTAAATATATAAAGATGATTCAAAAAGAGTGTTGAAAGATACAAAACTGATAAGTCGAAACAAACTGTCAGCACCAAGGCTTAAAAAGAAAAGATTGAACAGGCAAACAAAAATACACACAAAAAAACATAGAAAACGTAAGTCTAAGCAACTCTATTCCAACCAACACAAGGGGTTATTTCAGGTGCTTCGAAAGGATAAGTAAATTCTGCTCCACACGTAACACCCGCCGTGTTGCTTATGTTAGAACAAAGCCGTTGACAAGTTTAACTCGGTAGGTCAAATTCGAGGAAAACAAACTCTTTATAACCAATAATAGGTATCTAAATTTTCATCCGCTAAACCATCACGATTTAGTTGACCGATGGGATGTGTTTTTGTTTCATCTCACTAGATATGTATTGATATATTTTTTTAGCCGTCAGTGGTGACCTCGACAAAGATCAGCGAAAAGTTGCCTTGACCAAAAAAGAAATACTCGTTTTGTTTTCTGGTTTCTCAAGGAAAAGTGCATAGCAATTATATAGTTTCGGAATAGGTATAATCAGAGACATTTCATGACAAAAGAGGTTTCCTTCTGAAAACCGGAAGTAACATATTTTCTTACAAATTTCACGTACACATATAAATATCTGTTTTGGAATCTAAATAAAATCAACAATAAAAAAAACACCCGAAGAGACATCATTTTTTTTAAGGAAGAACTTATTATTTTCAAATGAAAGGACATTAATACTGGTGTTGAATAAAAACAAATGTAATTTCGTTACCTTCTTTTTTTTTTAACATTGTACTCGTTTATTTCAATTTGCATAGGATGGTGAAACTGCCTTATTCAAAGCTGTGAAAAATTCAAATATTGAATCAGTGGTTGCACTTGTAGCCTTTAAATCAACAATAAATGTTGTCAACAATGTACGTACGACTTTATCATGTATATATTTTGTAATTCAAAACATCAAATTATACAGGGCTACAATAAACCGACACAAAGGATTTAGCTATCATCGCTATCAATTTTGTAAACATAAACTTATTGTTAAAGAAACATGACAAGTTGTATCATTATTAACAATACTTAATCATGCAATAATGTCATCGTCACATGTATTCATTAACAGAGCAGCCCTTTTTGTGACAGCTTGTTGAACATTTTACCATTACTTAATTTGTCAATATTAAAATGTTGTATAGATTGGTAACAAATTGTTACACAAAACATCAATGATAATATGTTTATTCCAACATTTGAAATAAGGATGTTTTTTTTTCTTGCAAAATTTTCCTTTTATTAAACAATAAATTATAAAGTTTAAAGATTAAATGAGAAAAAAGTTATAAAATTATTGAACAATGAGTGTGTGTGTGTCTTGTTTGCTACTCAATAAATGATTTCCTTGCTTTTGCTGTAAAACAAAATTGTTAATCTTATCAAACTGCATTTTAGGATTGCGAAATATTATAAAAATGTCGATTGTTGCAAGCAGCAGAAAAGAAAATTTCAACAATATCAGACTGACAAAATATATTGTTTATGACAAGTATTGCCTTGATTTGTATTCGATAATAATTAAGAATGATTGCTTAGTTTATAGATAATTAATCTTTAAAAAGGTATATATCGACCAACATACCTATCTTGAAAGCCAAGCCGACCACAAACGTTTACACAAACAAGTCAACGTACACAATGTGTTATTTTATATTTCATTATTAAGATGGTAACATTTGAAATGTAGATCTACAATATGTTCTATTAATCGTCGTGATTAGACGTTTTTTTGCAAACTGTGAAGAGCATCCGAAGTACGAAAAGGCAATTGTTTTATCTAGTAAACATTTAGAAACAAAATATATATCATAATATTTATGAAATATTGCATGATTGCTTTGACATATTTGTATTTGCTTTGCTAGTGTTCATGCATTCACATTATTATAACATGATTTGACAAAACGAAATATGAACAAGCTGCATAATGTTCCATTACATATTTGAAGTTAGACGAGCCCTGCCTATAGCATTAACATGATTAATCCACAGAATAAGGTAAATTAATTTGAATTTGATATCGATAGATTTGTTCTTTCTTGCTAATGCGAATCAAACTTCGGAAATAGTTACAAGATTTGCAATTTATCATTTTGTATAAATTCATTGTATAATTAAATCTGTTTGGCCATCTTTTCATGTCATGTATACGTTGCAGCTAAAGTTATTTGATTTTCGTCAAGTCTTGTTCTCTTTGCAGAGAGGACAAAGTCCTTTAGATATAGCGGTTGCAAAGAAGGATGCTGAGGTTATAGAGTTACTTTGCAGTTTCGGATCATCAGTTACAATTGATGATTGGGCACTCGTAGGTGTTGATGTTGATATCCTAAACAAAAAAGACCAGAAAATTATGAGAACATTGATTAACCAACAAGAACGAGAAGCCGAGAATAATTACGGGTATTTTGATTAACAAAACTTTGCAAATGATTATATCAAATGATAAAGTCTGAACTTAAAAATAAATTTGTTAGCAAAAAAAAGTTCAAACAGACCCTGATAAAATCTCCCGTAACAATAATTTAGTGCTTTGCACATATATTTTGACTATTAAGGTGGCTCGGGTGTCTTCCTCCATCTTATATTTTGAAGTAGCAGACAACAGTTGGTCTATATGTTTAATGAAGTTGGCAAATTTTGAGAGTTGTATGTATGTCATGTGTAAGACTGCAAATATAGAAAATTATGTGTTTTATCATATTTACGACTGTAATTTCTAAAAAAAAAACACCATATATGTGTTCGATCCATTTTTTTTTTCAACATTGCCAAATTAGGGGAGACAACTCAATTTAGTAGGAGTTCGTTGACCCCGATTTTTCTTTTTCTTATCTGAAAGCATGTTATAAGAGCTATCTTCACACATTTTATCTTAAAATTTTGTCATGTAGTTTTCTTTTTATCACACAAAATTGGATTTCCCATGCATAATCTATACAACATCTGTCAAATTTGCGCAACCCATAGCGGGAAAAAAAGTCCGGTGACCCATACTTTTTATTATAGTTTTGAAAAAAAGCATGATAAAAACTTCATTTTGACAAATTATTAAAAAATTCTATGAATTTAAAGTAAGACCTTTAAATTTATATCCACCTTAATTCAATGATGATGTGGCCAATTTAATAAGACATGTTTTAATTCGATTGTGTTGCAAAATGAATGTTTAAATATGCAAAGTGTATCTCTTTTTAAAGAGACAATTTGTTCCACACCTTCAAGTATCTGTCACTAAAAGCTGAGTGGTTGCAACCCTTGGTATTTTTTATTGAATAGAACAAACTTTACATCCTTTATACAAACAATCTGTTCTATTTAAATTCGGAAATTCTCGGTGCGTGTCCAATACATACATGACTTAACAAAAAATTACGTGATATATTATGATGGTCGGGTGTTTTGTGCTGAGTCTACCAACTGATATAATGTACACTTTTTGTTTTTTTTTTTTGTTTTTTTTTTTAATCTATCATATATCGGTTTAGGGGTGAAATCGTCATATGAATATACCAACATCATTTTGTGTGCATGAACCTGAGTATTGCAAAATTTTGTTTCTTCACTAAGATTGTATCTTTGCTTTGCTCTGCATATGATTCGATCTGTTTATCAGCACATTTAATCATTTATGATAACAAATATGGTAACTTGTCAAAAATGAAAGGTATATATATATATATATATATATATATATGTTACAGTAAATAGATAAAATTAGGAATTATACGTAATTACTGAAATTTAGGAATTACATGTAATTCCTAATGTACTTAGTTAATACAAGTAATTCCTGAAACTGACCAGTTATTACCAGTAATAATTAATTTTTAAATGAATTTTTACACCTATTTACTAGCATATAAATCATTGCATTGTATAATCAGCTGATCAAAAGTATGGTCAATAATGAATAGAAGATCAGTCAGTACTATTACAAACTGATCATCCTAAAATATATCTAGATGTTAAAATGTTAAACTGTCTGAAAGATATTTGCTAAAAATGAGCGATAATAAAGATATATTTACTGAGATGTGTTTAAATTGTACAATGAAAAATGTGATTGAGTCTTAATGCCAAACGAGATGTTGAACACCATAATCAGTGGATTAAACATTTTGTTTTAAAATGAAAAAAAAAAAAAGAACCAAGATATAATTACAATCTTCTCTCGAGGTAAGTAATGATTTTCAATACATTTCTGTTGTATTTTAAATAATTCAATATATAAAAGCTAGTAAACAGTCATAATTAATGGCTGCAATAAAAGGGGAGGGGTTAATTGGTGCATGTGCACCCCTTGCTTTGTCTTGCTTTGTCAACCCTAAGCCCCTACCTGTCCCTTTCCTGGACCCGTTTTGAGCCTTAAATCTAGACTTAGTATAGGCCCATGTGATATATGCGGTAGGGTTAAACTAGCTTTGTCATATCCATACCCTCTCCCATCCATATTTGTGATTAATGATGTAAATAAATACAGTCGTAGACACATCGTCAATTTTTTACCAGAAAGCCCCAAATATATCCAGAAATTATAATGTCCGTTTGCGTTTCTCTGTTCGTAAATCAGGACCAGGTGCTTCGTAAAAAAAAGTGGCATCGGCTTCAAATCCGACACTCTCAATACGTCAATAGCTAGCCTACTAAAATTATAATAAACATGTACATGTGTTTTTATCCAGAACAAGTATTCATATTTGCTACATAAAAAGGTGTGATGACAGCAATATAACCTGTATAATACAATTTTGTTGCAAGCATTAATTTGGGAGGTCTTGAAAAACCAAAGAACAGAGAAGATGATCCTATCCTGTACTTCGTCTCTCTTGAGGAAACATTTGATGTGATCAAGAAGTACCATAGTTTCAAAATTTATAAAACAACCATTTCCCAGTTTCAAATCCCTAACCCTAACTTAAGATAAAGAGCATGCAGTTTTGAAAGACCTATGATTTCGTAACACAAAAGTAAGCCCTACAATCCATACTCGTTTACTTTCTTATTTAGTTTCTAAAATTATTAAAATTTTAGAACACAAGTATCAAGTTAGTAAATAGCTGTAAAAATTACTAGAAAAAAATCAGTGATTACCTGTACTAACAATTGATAAATATATGCTATCACTAATTCGACTAGTAATTACACGTATTTACTGAATATTTTAGTAACTAAGTGTAATTCCTAATTTCACCTATTTACTGCAACATATATATAGGTGTCGTTTTGCAATTAAAATATCAACTTAAATATAATTCTTTTGGTAGAAACTATGCTTTTGAAGTCTGCTACGTGAATCCTGGTGAAGATATTTCAATATGTACAGACATCACCATCAATACGGACAATATTAACATCGGTTTTTACTTATACTGTTCAAAAGTTATCCCAGAATACACTGATATCTCAATGCATCTGGGTTCTGAAGACCGAATTTTCAGCGATGTTTATGAAATAAAAACATGGGGAGATACACCAAGGTATTTAGAGTTTCACATTTCTGTGTTAGGAATTGTTGAAGACAATCAGCTAGTGGTAATTGTTCCCTTGGAAGGTTCTGCAGAAGGCAATATTTCAGGTCAGGCATTTACTGATGGAGAACATGCAGAAGAGGTTAGTTTATTAATATCAACAGTTAACCATTTAAGTCAGATGTCTTTACTCTTGGGTCATTAGGGATAATACTTGGATACTACTATCAAAATAAAAGTTATCTAGAAAGTCTAGCATTCTAAGTAAGTTTTGAAAGGAAATTTGTTCGCGGTTTTTAGCTATCCTTAATGTGCCCTCAAGTGACTTCAATTGCCAAATGGGTATCGACTCTTGTGCTATATGTTTGTCGGTTCAAGGTTGATTGAGAGCTGCAAATTGTTCGCAACGATGTAAAAAAATGTGCATGATATGTTCAGGATAGAATTAATGACAATGTTAATTGACTCATGAGACATATAAATCTAAATTTTGCACAGCACCTTATTAATCAATGCAAAGCAAAATCAAGACATTAAAACCATCATTGAAATATCCTAATGCCAAATAATTCCACAAACAGAGTTATTGAACGTCATTATTTGTACATGTTTGAGTAAACATTTCCTTAGGAGACTTGGCTTGATCTTTAAAGACATGTATGAAGTGACATATCAGATCCTTCATAGTTCAAGATTTTTTCTATATATGTCTTTATAAACTGTCAGGCGAACCAAAAAGCTTTGACCAATCTTACTTATTTAGATTGAAAATCACTCTGTACTGATCATTTAGTTTGGGTTTTCTTATTTATGTATTTTTTTTTCTTTTGGTTTTTCTGTATTGTACTTTTTACACGCACACGATATTTTTGTGACTTGATACTGTGTATATACATGTATACTTCCGTTTTTCTTTCGCATTCTTGAGAAAGTTTCAAGGGGCCTGACGATATGGTATCGACATGTCTGTAATCAATTCATTATAATCTTTACAAATAAACTAACACAATGTTTGAACTGGGCTTCAAAACAATGTATCTTAAATCGTTTGGTTTATAATTTATGTAAATCCATCGATTTGCAACCAGCAGCTTTATCTATTTATTGTAATTGAATTTATGTAAGCACAGGCATTCATATGTAAACCAATACTATTTTTCAGTATACAAAGTTTGATATAAAAATTGATCTAACAAGAATGAAGATGGCCAAATTCGTTGTATTATCACAGAAACGACATGAAGAGTTTGACGTTACACAGTTCGAGGTCAAAATTATTCCGCAGTCAGAAAGTAATGCAGAAATAAACATACCTGAGGGAGCATTTAAGTCACCAGGAAAATTAATGCTTAATGTAGGATATATACTAATGATAATGAAAATAAATAAAAAAAAAATGTTTCTATTAGTGTTTAATTATTAGTTTTGTACGACTTTGCCCCCAGCAGAGCTATAGAAAAACAGTACATTAATGGGTGTTACACGGACACTTTTCAGATAATACACGGACAATTTTTAGTTGTTACACGGACACTTTTTATGAATAAAATCACTCGTACGTGATCAGTGAGTTCATGGGCACTTTAAATTTCAATTATTTTTGAACTTTTTGTTTCACCGACATATTTCCAGTCTTTTTTATTAAAATATTTACGTTGGCATCAATAACTATATTTTTTCAAACAATTCCAGTATATTACTATCCATGCCAGTACATTAAGGGATTGACCATTTAACTTCAAAAGGGGGGTTAAGGTTTTTTCCTAAAAAATATTCTGATCCCAAATTTTATGAGAAAACATATATTGTGGTCAAGCAGATGACAAAATAATGTTCTGATTCCTGATTTTCTGATTTTTTTCAAATTATGGACATAAGTAGTATAGTGGACAATGTTGAAAGTAAAGAAATGCTTGTACCGACGTTTGTATTTCAATAAAATAGACAGGAAATATATATATAGAAATCAAATCTAATCAAAAGATAAAATCCCTAAAATCTCACCAATGCACGATTGATCCTATAGATAAATAGTGCCCGTGTAATACATGTTCAAATATGCAGCAAATTTTTAAAACAATCATTCAACTTATGTCACCAAATTTGGACGATGAGCTGCGATTGGATCATATTGTGACATGTGTTTAATCCTGACCAACACTATTAGAGACATATATAAAAACCTACAAGCATGACATTTTTAAAACAAATCCAATATATATATCAATATATATCTAAAAACAAGACAAAATCCTTTGTTTCATAACATTTCATTCACTAATGAAATAGGAAAATTATTCTTTTTATACAATTATATTGTTAGTGAAATCATATATATTGAATTCACTTATTTGGAATTTGGAAGCAAATGTACGATTTTTATTATTTTTAAAGGGGGAATGGAGTGGCACATCGTGCATTATTTTCGACAAAAAAAGGATAAAGCCCGTTTATTTTAAATTTATTTTACCCCCCCCCCCCCCTTTTCCGTTTCACCCAAAAAAAAATCAAATGTTAGCTTGCTTACCTCTGAAATCTTTTTCATGCATAACTTACTTGCAAAGTTGCATTTAAAAAAGTCTCAAATATTAACGACATTAATCTTTTACATGACATGGTCCTTTTTATAAAATTATTAGATTCTTGAATTTTGCTACCTTGTCTAAATGCAAAATGTACTACTTCTTTCTTGAAACGTCGTACAAGTCAGATACAAAACAAAGGTAACAAAAATACAAAAAAAAAAAAACTGGTCGAAAACAAACTGCCGTATAGTTTTTTCTGCACTTATAGACCTGACTACTCGTACAGAAAAACTATCCGGCAACGGTTGTTACCGACCTGTTTCTTTGTTACCTTTGTATTGTATCTAATACTTATTCTAAATTGTAGACAAATATACATCCGTTGGATGTTGTTCTATTTTCATTATAAAAATAGTTTTGCAATCAATATTCTGTTTGTATTTGTTTGAAACAATACTGTTTGGTTCTTCAACTTTGTAGATACAAAACTGTATTTCAAGAGCACGATATTTTAATATCCAATTTTTGAGTTGCTTATATGCAGATCAAATAATTTTGTAATGATTTATATATTAATTTGTTCTAGATAAATATATCACATTAATTGAAAGATGACAATGAATCAAATTTCTGTTAAGGTAGCTGATACAAATGATTGGAACAGTGACGAAACGGTCCTATTTACTAATGTCGTAGATTTAACAATGCAGAATAAAGCTCAGCCGAACAAACCCATAAATGTAAAACTTCCTCTGCATTCACTGGCTGCATCTGTCGATGATTTTGTAATAATAGCCTCCCATAAAGATATTCCAGAAACAGAGAATGATTGGGAAATATGTCCAACACATATAAAAATCGAAGGAAACATAGTGTCCTTCTTTGCAGAACATTTTACACGGTAGGTTTTTTTTACGTGCTAGAATGTAAAAGAACAATATAATGTCTGAAACATCATTTAAACAACAAAATATCAAGACAATTTGTAAGAATGGCCAACGTAAATGCCTTTATGGAAATACAGATGATATTGTGTGTTTGTACAAGGTTAAAATTACTGTAAACCAACTAATTTTTGCGACCAATTTATTTTCGCGACTTTGGCGAGTATAAAAATAACGTGAATATAAAACGTCGCGAATATGTAAAACTTGGATATTTCCCTATTTAATTACATCAAGTTAATTTGAATATCGCGAAATTAAATCGCCGCGAAGTGGAATAGAAAGGGCTTAACGCGACACAAAGTATCCGCGAAAATAAGTTGGTTTACAGTATGAAGATACTTGTTTTCTAGTGTGAGAACTTATGTGCTACTTTTGGGGGACGTGTTTTTACTACAAATTATCTGCATCCCCATCGGAATTTACTAATCGCCTGTTATTGATGACTTCTTTTTTTTTTCATATAAAGCTGAACTTAGACAGGATATCCCTAGGAAGACTAAAAGGAAACCAGCATTAGCATTAAGCTTCACGTTCCGCTATATACATGATGTCACCTCACTAGATAATTCAAAGGTTGTTGATAACGTTGAAGACATCTATCCCATCGAACTTGAAATAAAGGATGAAATTAAGTCTGTCTTACTCTATTACTAACATCTAGAGGTTGACAAGGAGGGTGTAATGAAAACAAAACTTTACGAAAACAGAGATTGGTTCAGCTTCAATTGTGAACCTAATATAGTTATATCTTCAAATCGATATTGTATTCCAGAACTTGCATTTCCTATTATGATTCCCTTTATATAGGGCTGCTACATACAAGAAAACTATTAAACTAAAAATTCCAAGTGTTGCAGTTGAAAACAAATACCTAACTCCGAGGAAAATTCAAAAAGGAAAGTCCCTAATCAAATGACAAAATCAAAAGCTCAAACATATTAAACGAATAGATAACAACTGTCATATTCCTGACATGGTACAGGCATTTTCTTATGTAGGAAATGGTGGATTAAACCTGGTTTTAAAGCTAGCTAAACCTCTTACTTGTATGACAGTCGCATCAAATTCCATTATATTGACATCGATGTGTGAACAAAACAAACACAATAGGTAAAAATGTCACAAATAGGGGAACAACAGCAACACGAACCCCACCAAAAACTGGGGATGATTTCAGGTGCTCCGGAAGGGTAAGCAGATCCTGCTCCACATGTGGCACCTATCGTGTTGCTCATGTTATTACAAAGTCGGTAAATAGTTTAATTCGGTAGGTCACGTTCGTGAAAAGGGAACGGGATTGTAGTTACGACATAAGGAACATATCCGATATCATCTGTGAAACGGATATTCCATTTCTTCGCAATTGTACTGACACATTCACGAGTTGATTAACGTCATAATGATGACGGATAGGTTCTTATTGCTTTAACACCAATCCCGTTATCTTTTCGTGATTATCAACGTTGTCTAATTACATGTGCAACATGTGTAGCATGATCGGTCCGCATTTAAAGCTGTCTTCACATATCATTTGGAGCACTACAATTCATCCTAGAATTTGTTTTGAAAAGGCTCGTGTTGCTCTTGCCTTAGTTGTTTAGTGCTTTATTAAATGTATGCGCTGTTTTACCAGAAACAGATTTTGTATATCCTTTGTCGTGAAAAATGTTCTTTTATTTATAAACGTCACATTCAGTTAAGTTCTAGAGTTAGAAAACTACCTCAATCGATGGTTTATGAATTTGTTTATGTCTTAGGGTTAGATAATAGCCATTAATAGATATTAACCAATCCGATATTTCATTATATTCTTTAGGAGTAGTAATTTGGTTACCCTTCCTTAGCACATGCTGTGATCTCCTTTTGTGTGTGGCTTACACTGCTCAATTTACAGATTTATATGTTTTGTTTTGTGTACTGTTTTTTTTTTTGTTATAGCATTGTCAGTTAGTTTTCATGTAAGTAGCTACTTTGGACGCGTTAATTCGATATACTTATCTCCAATCTAGTTATCGTTCAGTTATTATCTGTGTTGCGGTGCTGTATTATTAATAGATAACTCCATATCTGTGTATTTAAAGACATAACTAAATAATGTATCTGTTCTGTAATATTAATTTGCAACATAAGTGTTGCTGCAGTAGGTAATGTACCAACTATGATGTTTTTTTTTTTAATATTAAATAATTTTCAACTGGAAATAGCTTCACTGTTGGATCAAGGAAAAATTTCAAGAATAGTGCAGAATCGGCAACATTGGCTGTGCTCCAATATAGGCCTACAGAGATATTTGCAGGTCTCAAGAAAGAGACAGATAGAAAATTGACCTTAATAGTTGAAATCGCATTGAAACATTTTGGGAAGAAGAGAAGGAAATATTGGAGACAAAAAGGATTTCGACTCCAGACAATAGAATACAGAGACGGTATAGTTCAAGATGGTGAAAAGCTAAATGTATGTTTGTTGATTTTGTCAATCTTAACATTAGTGTCCTTACATTCGCCGTGTCCATTCTCAATTATATGTTCAATTCGGATGTTGCAAGAATCTGTTTTCAAACTTTTCAATTTATTTGTGTTTGAATTCCAAGAATGACAGAATTGAATTACCTACTTGATATACTATTTAAATACCTGCTTCAGTTTTATGTACTTCTTTATTACATGTACATACTCTATAAAAGGAAGAACTCTTTTTTAATACTTAATTACACAATGTATGTTGTACAAAATATACCTTTACATGTAGAACAATATTCTTATTTATCTTCCCTTCCAATGTATTGCTTTTAATCTTCTAGTACATAAAGCCAAAAAGCAAAATCCCCAATCTACGAATACAGAAATACGGTGCCAAATCGTGGTGTTCTCTGAGATCATCAATATATTTTTTTGATTACCCAAATTGATTATCTAATTTAGACATTACATTGAAATACAATGCATGTAAAGTTATTGAACTTTTCAATTAGCATATTACTTATAGGTTATCTATTTTAACTCAGTATTAAGTTCTCAAGAACTTCATATAAGATGTGATTTTGCTAGGTATTTATAAATAATTGTGTTGAAGTACAAACTGTTCAAACACAAATACCTAAGGAAATTAGACAAAGACATTTATCAGAAATGACAATAAATATAACAGGAATGAATCAAATGATAATACAGAATGCGTAAATATATAGTACTTATTCTTATACGAAATTAACGGACTACTTTATTCAGTTTTGTGATTTTTAGTTGTCTATTTTGTATTCTTAGATTTCCTTAGAAGGAAATTTTCAGATAGACACAATAAGAAGTTCAAAAGGGCACATCATATTTAACCATAACAAGAAAAGGAACTATCGTACATTTTATATTGTTTCTGACCAGCAAGAACCACCAATAGGTGACGTCATTGTATTCAGGACTACGAAGAAAATCGTTGAACAATCAGTTATAGATACATTAAGAAACAAGCCCAAACCTGGACTTTGGTCAGTTTTATGTAACAACGTGGTTAAAGTCGCAACATCAAGACGAGTAGCCATCGAACATGGAATCAAAGAACTGGTCAGATTACCAATCGATGGACTTCTGTTCGGTAGTATTTTATTGTTATTTGTGTGTGTGAGTGTGTGTGTTAAGTCTACAAATAATGGTGAAAAGGAACAAAACGTCATCAACATGCTGTCATCCTCTCTAACCAATTCCAAACTCATTATGCAAGAGCTACTCAGACATAATATAACGTCACGGTTTTTGTTCATGTACTGTGTCTTTAAGGTGTATATATGCCATTTTGTTTTTCTTTGTTGAAACACGTATTTGTGTTAATAGCGATTAAGATAATCATTGTTGTCAATATAATGAAACTCTATGCGACTGTGAAACAAGTAAGAGGTTTAGATAGTTATACAACCTGGATTAATGCACCATTTTCAACATAAGGAAATACCTCTAACATGTCAGAAATATGACAGAAGTTTTCCATTTATACATTGTGTTTGAGCATTTGATTTTGCATTTTTATAAATGACTTTCTATTTTGATCTACTCTTCGAGGTCGGTATGTTTGTTATTTCACCTTTTCTATTCTCTGAAATTGAAATATCTACAACACACGAAATAATTCAAATACAACATTCAAAGTTTAGATGTTCGTTTTAATTGACTAATAGTGAGCGCAGTCTTTTTATTTATATTAGAAAAATGATTTAAGAGAAGAAAAGCCAAAGTTCTTGCCTTTGATGACTAACACACTTAGTTAAATAATTGTGCTACTTTACAAAGAAACAAAATAACACTGATAAAGCTGTTACCATTATCATCAGTTTGTTTCAATCCATATTATGTTGTCGTTTGTTTTGTACCAAGCTTTATATCAACATATCGATATACACATATTTGAAAAAGCAGTCTTTAAGGAATGATAATCGTGATTCTGTAAGAAATAGTTAGATGTATTTAAATTTTTGAAGCAGTACCAACAAATTGATGATGAACAAATATTTGTTCATATTTAAAATTAGAGCATATGATATATTTTAGATGAAAACCAAGATGTTAGTGTAGATATAGATGATTCACAGTGTAAGTTAAGTATACCACATCTTTTTTGTTATATATAAGATTATTTACATAGAAAGGAGACCGATTTCAGAAGAACAGAAACGTTATATACTTAAAGGTGCATTAGCTGTCAAATTCATGTTTTCCGATTTTACTAAAATTCTCATATTTAATTTATATCATACTAGAACGTATATCCAAATTACAAAATGTCACAAAACAATTTACAATGCATGTTCTCGATAATATGTATCAGCATGTCGTATGTGTTTAGTCTAGACTTCATCTAATTAACAATCGAGGTGACCTCCGAAGACTGCCGATGGTCATATAACCCGATATAACTCGTTCAATTTGATTTTTCTAGGTCTGTTTGATTTCATATTATAAGTCAAAATATATGTAAGTCATCGATTTTACCTGTATAAGAATTAATTTTTTAGGATCGAATCAGTCATTTGGATGGTTTACCTTTGTTTTTTTTTTCTTTCAATGTTGACATGCTTTGCGTTTAATAACTTACCTCGCCTTAATCATGTGTTACCCATCTCTAGCTTAGAGGATAAATTGAAGATCACATTAACACGGATTCGATGAGGTCGAATTATTCACTTGCAAATAAATAATTCATCAGCGATATTTCTTAGCCTTTTTTTGAAAAATTGAATGAAACTGGCTGCGAAAAGCGAATTGTTATTTCCCTATTTCACTTTCATTAATGATTGACAAAACAAAACCATACTTTATTTTTTTATATCACGTAGCTCATGCCCCTTTAAGAAGATTGATGATCCTACAGTTTAAATGATGAATATTTTCTTTGACTCAACGCTAAAGTAAATGGATATTTGATATTTCAAAGTTTTCAGGGTAATACATACCAGTATAATATGAGTATACACAGTGACATATGAATGAGTGTTATATTTTTCAAACAATTTTAATCAGAAAGAGCATTGTATATTTAAAATGATAACAAAACAAAAGATACACAAGAAACATTTACCTTTTTGATATTCAAATTTAACAAATGTCTTTTCAGTTTTAAGCATATGCCTTTAAAAAAATGAGTGCTGACGCTTACTTTAAATGCTTTTATTCATTACACCTTTTGTAAATTACTAGTATGCAATTGTTTTGTGTATATAGTTAATCTTGAAAATTCATGTTGGACTGATTTATAAAGATAAATAATCAATAGTAAGGTTAAACGTTTTATGCATATTTTTCCAGTAGGGTAATTTTCCTTCGATTGTATTATAACGTTAACAACATATTCACATTTCTTAGTTCTTTGGTTAAATAAACGATGAAAGAAATTCTTTTCAGTGATGGATGTTTAACTTTCGAATGTACTTTTAAAAGTTGATATCAAATGAAAACCCTATGTTTTGCTTTATAAAAGTATTTCATTGTATACATAGAATACATTGAAATATTTCCTTCGGGTTTTAATACTACAAGAAGCAGAATACCAATGTTGTAAGATTTTTAATATCAGTTTGACGTATCCATTTTATACATTGAACATGTTTTTATCTTTAAGGTACAATTCCTGTTCTTAGAAAATCATCATTATTTAGACTCGGACAACAACTCAGTATAGATGAATGCTACAAACTTGGAGTTAAATTAAATATTTCCGATGAGAAACTATCGAGCATAGAGTCAAAACTAGAATTTAAAACTGCGATGTTTGAAATATGGAGACCTTCACGGCCCAATGAAACTTTGGTTTTTAATATAGTTATAGCACTTAAAAAGAAAGGCAAAGGCAATTTAGCCGATGCCGTACAAGAGGCTTTTGTAGACAATGTAGAATTCACATAAACAATGAAAAAATAGAAGGCCGCTATCCTGTTTCGGTTGTATTCCTCGTAGCTTCATGTAGATGAAATTAATTCTCTCCGGCACTAGACTCTTTCTTTTATACAAATTCAGGTGTACATATACGTATTAAAGTTTACCGTTTACCAGTTACTGTTGTTATCTAGCGTTTGTTTTCAAATAACTTTTTGCGATAAGCCATGTTGATTTCATTCAATTACAAATACAACGATTTAGAAAGAAAACACTGTACGTTTAAGTGTTAATATTAATTTGCAGTATAAAACCAATATTGGTACATTGTGGGAAAATATTAATTGTATTTGTGCTCGCTGTGAAACAGAAGAAAAACTCACAGAACTTCTCTGTTCTCTATCTCTTTAACGCTTGTAGAAATACATTTTGATTATTTCCTACAATGTTGTTAGTTTTCTCGGCTAAATAATCAACTATTTGTCCTGTCGGGCCTTCAATAACACGAATAACTTACTATGTGGTATGGTTTTTGTATATTTGTTGGAAAAGATCAATTGATTATTATCTGTTGTATTATTGGCGTTTGTTTTATGTGGTCAAGCATCATAACTAAGACTAACAAACCAGGACGAGCACAATGTGTGTCTACATTAAACTACATTCCTTCTCATATTTTATGCTGTGATTCTCAAATGGGGTTTGACTTATTAAGAAGGGATATAGTTACGATACTGTTATCAGGTCATTAAAGATTGCATATTTTGGCGTTAATATTGATTCACATATAGGGTCTTTGCATCGGCACTAAACACATTTATTTAAAAACCAGTTGTTGGCATGACACGGGTTATGTTCTTCTCATATATGTTATGATGGTATGATACTAAACCCCTAACGGGAAGGATTGTGCCTGATATTCATATGATGAAGACATAATCTTTCAATCAGTTTAATTGAAGTCTGGAGCTGGCATGTCAGTTAACTGCTAGTAGTCTGTTGTTATTTATGTATTATTGTCATTTTGTTTATTTTCTTTGGTTACATCAGACTCGGACTTCTCTTGAACTGAATTTTAATGTGCGTATTGTTATGCGTTTACTTTTCTACATTGGCTAGAGGTATAGGGGGAGGGTTGAGATCTCATAAACATGTTTAACCTCGCCGCATTTTTGCGCCTGTCCCAAGTCAGGAGCCTCTAGCCTTTGTTAGTCTTGTATTATTTTTCATTTTAGTTTCTTGTGTACAATTTGGAGTTAAGTATGGCGTTCATTATCACTGAACTAGTATATATATTTGTTTAGGGGCCAGCTGAAGGACGCCTCCGGGTGCGGGAATTTCTCGCTGCATTGAAGACCTGTTGGTGACCTTCTGCTGTTGTCTGTTCTATGGTCGGGTTGTTGTCTCTTTGACACATTCCCCATTTCCAATCTCAATTTTATTTGTTTAAATGAGATGACATCAAAGCAATCATTCATGACACTATACTCAGCAGTAATACTTTGGTTGAAAAGGATGAAAAATTATCTTTAAGCGAAGGACATATAAACGGGACCCAATCAGAAAATTTTTAGAAAGAACATCATCAATGTATCTGAACGTGAATTTGAATGATCTGATTACGTTGATACTTTTGTTTTTGACAAGTGTTTGAAGGAAATCCGACTCATATGAAAATTAGAAGAAGCCTGCAAGGAGAGGTGCACAGTTCGTTCCAATAGGAATGCCTACAATTTGTTGAATAAATTCTACCTCCATATTGAACAAATATGTTGTAAATTGGAAACTCCAGCATACTGATCACTTGTTCCTCGGTAAAGCATTTTTTAAGTTGAAATCATTCCTTCGTAGATTTTAAGGTCGCCATCACGAGCGTATTCACCGTCATGGAATATCTGTTTCACAGATGACGATGGATATGTTACAATTGTCGTAACTACAATCTGGTACCTTTCCCCGAATAAGACCTACCGAATTAAACATATCACCAGGTTTGTACTAACATGAGCAACACGACGGGTGTCACATTTGGAAAAGAATCTCATTACCTTTCCCGTACCTGAGATCAACCCCAGGTGTTTGTGGCTGAATCTTTAGTGTTCTATGTTGTTTTTTTGTACTTCTGTTTGTTTGTCTATTTTCTTTTTAAGCCATTGCGTTGTCAGTCTATTTTTGACCTATAAGTTTGAATGTCCTTTTGTGATCCTTCGCCTTTCTATTACCCCATTGTTGACTACTAACAAAATATTCATAATGGTATCCAAAAGCAATAAATTTATAGCGTATGCTACCATTTTTGTATTGAAAGCATGACGGATTATTTCATTGAGAAGATTTTTCGATTCCACATTGGAAATCGTGGTATAAAGGGTTGAAAAATCAACCGTTTAGATAGAAAAATTTCAGGGAAATATCGAGATCTGAAATTATCCACAAGTTCTCTAGAGTTTTTTATAATCCACATATGGTTAATGCCACTACGCAATGCAACAGTTTCACAGTGTTTCTAAAGACCCTAAATGCGTATATAATTTATGTCAATCTTATGAACAATTTCTTGGTAAAACATGCAGATTAGTGCTTTTTCCCCTGAGCATGTTCTTGATTCTCTATGGATTCATTACCAAAACTACATATCGCATTACGTAACTTCAGGTAAAGAAACAAAAAACACTTTCAATTCCACTCAAATCAATATAGATTATAACTATTGATAAATTAGAAAAGGATTAAATACAATAAGTGATAGAGGTCAACAATTGTAGAAGTGTTTATTTATCTGTCACATTCCCTTTTCTGGATTTTGGCATACCTGATGAAGCTAAGTCCAGAAAGATGATGCTTAAAAAGAATATGTACACAAACAGCTTTTTAATCTGGCCAACAAACTACAAATGCGATAGTTGCGATAATGCAATCAATATCAAATTGTTTCTTTCCGGCACCAAAAATTGTGAATCAGGAAGTTATGATCCGATGTATGTAATCAATATGCATACCGTATACATGATGGTCCAACTTACAGTTTGTTTAATCAAAACTAACGTTGACCGCCAACCCTGATCCAGGAAATAATTAGTTAGAAATAATATCAATATTGGCTCTATCTGGTTGTAGAATATTTTGGATCGTTTGTTGCGGTCATGGTTTTCTCAAAGCTTTGTTTGGTCCGTAAAAAGCATACACTCGCTTATTGCATGACATCTCTAAAATGTTCTGACTTAAGAACTAAGCAGAGATTTGTGTTACATTGCATTCATACTTTTTGAAAAAGATCATTTAAGAACAAAATTGTGGCTTTTTGATATTAAAAGATAAGTTGAAATGCAATGCCACATTTTGCTGAAAGTGAACATTGTCGATTGTTAAATGTATTTTGTATTTACTATTTCTAGTTCGATGCCATCACTAGTCCGCAAGAGTATCATCAGCTTAGAAGCCAGTGCTCCCGTTTAATCTGTAATCATACAGTGTGTTACATGTCATCCTTTTACACCATTACCTACGGTGGTGCTCCTTTTAAAGAAGGGGTGTACATGTACAGAACATACGTACATTTAACAAATATTATTGGTGTCGGCATCGGATTTGACCCGAGAGTTGGTTAAAATTGATTATATTAGTTATGTGGAAAACAAAAGGACCTAGAATGGTGTAATTTTTAATCAACAGTATTATCCTATAATAGTTATAAATAATTATAATATGACGTACTTCTTTTGAATGGTAAACAACACCGTGATAAAAACTTTCGATATATCTATGATTAGCGCAGACTGTGATATGTACATAATAATGGGTGTTAGACTATACCTCCCATGTAAATCCACATGTATCGTTATCTTATGTGCAAACGCTATGTCGATTTTGCTGTGTTAGAAATTACAATAATTATTGAAAAAAAACTTAACAGAACCTTTATTCTTATTCTGAGGCATAACAAAAGGAATTAATGCATTAGAGATCGGAAAAAATGTTCAAAATCAAAATACATTAAAATTCCGCGAAATTTCATTAATGTTTTTGGAGCATTAACGTCGTTTCAAAACATTTCGTCATACGAATGAAAACGCCAAAGATAATTTTTTTTCCATTTCGTTTACCTTCTAAGCTCGGATAATATTGCTTTAGAATAAAGTTTTGAGGTAGGTGTTTTTTTTTTTTTTTTTTTTTTCTATTCTTTTGCATTATTCGCACATTTACTGTTTTCAGCAACATGGCGACTCCTTGGTTACAAAATGTCAACAGTGAGTTTGATTGTAACTTACCAGAAAAAAATGTAAATTAAAAATGACAAATGTCGGGTTTGAGAATTAAAAGAATCAATCATATTGTTTTCTAGCGTTTTATTAAGAAATGATTCATGCAAGCTACAGTTTTTTTTTACATTGATCTAATAGTGGGTAAAATAGAAAAGCCGTACACATGGCATACCCACCCTCCCATCAGTTTTTTAATGACCGTATTTGTCCTATTATATATATAACTATAAGTTATACAAGTTGTCGTCAACATCATGCGTAACATTGACACCGTGTACTGTTAAAAGTGCTATTTGTTAAAAATCCAATGCGTCCAAAGCGCTTTTCTTAAGTTCGTTTATCAGAAAAGTACAGAGCCGAATACGTAAAAGCCATAGATGTATGACAAACGACAGAGTTGATAGAACTATACAAACAAGAAGAACCTGAAAATGATAGCTAAAAACATCAAAGGTCAACTTTTCCTGAAAAGAGTATACCATGGCTACTAAATGGTTTGTACATGTAGATTAATATACAGACCAAACTTAATCGTTCATTCCATGTAAAGACTTGGATATGAAGCATTATTAATGGGATTTATGACATCAACAAGGCTTACATGTTTTCAATGTAAATTCAAGTTATATATCTGTACATTTCTTTTTTGTTTGTTATGCTGAGGACTTGTGGTTGTTGACAGTCCCCTTTGGTACTTATTCTCTCATTGAACTTAGGATCGGTCAGATCAGTACATTTGTGTTTCTAAAAAAATGAATATTAAAATCAAGTCACGTTGAAAAAAGGTTCAACCATATCGTGTGCACCGCAGTCGATTTTATTTCATATATATATAATTAATGAGAACAAATGAAGAGATAACAACGTGCAATCAATTAAAATTCTTTTGTTGTTCATCGGAATTTTCCCATCTTAT